TTTTTGGCAGGCCTGGCCAGGGCTCACCACAGCCTAATGAAGGTGAATGAGAACCTACCAATCCTCAAGGACCTCACCACATATGACAGGTACCCAACTAGAATAAGATAAATGCCAGACGAAAGTAAAAACAGTGCTACGATGGGGCACCTGGGTGGCTCAGTCGGTTAAGTGCCTGACTTCGGTTCAGGTCATGATCTCACAGTTAGTGAGTTCTGGCCCTGCGTCAGGCTCTGTGCTGACCTCTCAGAGCCTGGAGCCTGCTTTGGATTCTGTGTCTCCTTTCCTCCCTGTTCCTCTCCTGCTTGTGCTCTCTCTCTCAAAAATAAATAAATAAAGACTATAAATAAATAAATAAATAAATAAATAAATAAATAAAACAGTGCTACTAAGCAGCAGGAGATGACTTGATTTGGGGATCAAGATAAGCTTATGGAAGTGAAGTCTTGAATGGTGGGGTAGAATTTCAATAGGTAGAGACTGGGAAGAGGGGAGGAGCTTTCCAAATGGAGGCAAATGCTTGAGCAAAGAGGTTGGGACAGAAAAGCACTGGCCAGAGAACATGGAGATATCTATTTGCAGTGAGTTTAATTACAAGTTGGGCAGAACTCTTAGGTATTCTTGGGGAGATACTCTTAGGTGCTTGGGCTATGTAGGAGAAGTTTGCCCTTGTGGAAATTTAACTTTGGTTAAGATGGAGTGGGCCATTGCATTAAAAGGATTTACTTTTATTGCCCCTGGTGATTCTGTTTATGTTTTTGTATCTGATTAGATGATTTATAATCTCCTTCTATCTAGATCCTTTCTTGTTCTGTGGTTCTTTCATTCCCTCATTTTCTGCAGCTTCTATGCAACTGTTATAAAACAGGGAGGTGATTGGTGGTAATGTTATGTTGGCGTTTGTGGGAGCTTCCCTGAGAGTCATGGGCCTGAACTTCATTAAAGAACTTCATAAAAATATCTTCTAGGGGAGCACCTCGCTGGCTCAGTCTGTCGAATATGCAACTTTTGATCTTAGAATTGTGGGTTCAAGCCCCATGTTGGGCGTGGAGCCTACTTAAAAAAAGAAAACAAAATTTTTTAACATGAAATTTATTGTCAGATTGGTTTCCATACAACACCCAGTGCTCACACCAATAGGTGCCCTCCTCAATGCCCATGACCCACCCTCCCCTCCCTCTCACCCCCCATCAACCCTCAGTTTATTCTCAGTTTTTAAGAGTCTCTTATGGTTTGGCTCTCTCCCTTTCTAACTGAGAAAAAATGTTTTAAAAAAATCTTCTAATTTTATGTCTTTTTATAATTGAGATTATCTATTGTTTTTGGGAAATTTGCTATAATTGAAGCGCATGGCTTGTGAAGCCAAATCATGTTTTAATATATAATTTTAGCTACTAATGCATAATAGTGGTCAGTAACATCTCAACTTGGAGTGTTTATGGCTCAGCTTCAGTATATGGTCATCTAGACTATGTTTGAGTATGTATCTGTAGCATTCCAGAAATCAGGAACCACATAATGATCTGTTATTTATAGACCTCATTTTAAATATCTGTGTGTGTGTGTGGGGGGGAGGTTGGGCAAAATGGCATTTCATGTGCTCTCTGAGGTTTAAAATGCCTCAGGTGGAGGAGGAAAGAGGGTTCATTATATTAGCTGCTTGAATTGTTACACAAACTTCCCACCTCTACAGATTCTGTACACAAACGGGAGGAAGGTGGGTTCTGTTAGGTTCTAGAACTCCCATGAGATGGCTACTTCTCTTTTGCCCAGGATCATGTAACCCCTTCTCCTTGATCCTTTCAGAATCTTCTGGGTGACTCTCTCGGGGACTTTATGTTCGTATCTCAGTGGGGATTTCCAGACACATGAAAGTTCCAGCTTTGCATGCTGCTTTCTGCAGCTGGCAAAGCTGGCTTTTCTCCATCACTGTTCAGTTTTGTGGTTTCAGGGAAATTACATTTGCTTTCATACTGTGACCATGTTTGTTTTCATGCCATGCTATGATCTTGCTTCAGATACAGAAGCACTACAAAGAATGGAATATTCAGTATGTCTTTGGACACGTTGAGGTATAATGGAAACCAGTTATGCTGGTGGCTGTGCTGCTGATTACAGAGAATGTTATGTGCTTTAGATACCAGATAGTTTGGAGGCAAAATTGACATCCTGTGAGAAAGATTGAGAAGCCTGACTTAAGTTAACCACACTTTACTCTCGCCTATTGGGATTAATGCTGGATACCAAGGAGGTATGTTCATAGTACTGTGATAATACAAAAAAGTTACTGGCTAAGTCTGTGTGTGCTTTTCCCAGGAAAGCTTTACACAGTAGGAGATGCTTCAGCTGGCCCTGAAAACTGAGAAGGGTTTTGTTTTGTTTTGTTTTTGCTAGACGTGTAAGTAGAAGAGGGTAGTCCAAGCAAAGGCATAGAGGCATGGAAAAGAACTCTGTGTTGAAGTTAGGTTGAAGCCAAATGTGCAAAGTCTGTGTTAATAAGAGATGAAGGCAGATGCTGGACTACAAGGAGCCTTGAATGCAAAGAAAACTGGAACCTGCAATGGGAGATGAGAAATCATTGGAAGGTTTAAAACAGGAAAATGACTTAGTCAAGCAAGAATGTCATAAAGTTCATTCTGAAAGGAGATCAATTTGGAGGGGTTGAGACCATAGGCAGGGAGAACAGAAAGACCAGGGAAAAAGTCTGGGTGAGAGATAGTTGCTAGAAGATAGTTGCTAGGAGAAGTTGCTGAAAGAGGGTACTGAGGAGTCAGAGAAGGTTAGGGAGGTATTGCATAAGCTATAGTGGTCTGAGGTGAGCCAAAGAAGACTTTCCAGGAGGGATTAATCGGCAGCATCAGACAGAGTAGTGTGCCCAGGTAAAAGAGGGCTTCCTCTTTGGATGTAGCTACTAGGACGTCACCAAGTTCCCTACTTAATGGGAAGTAGACCAGTGTCAGCAGGACTGGAATACTAGGGTGAGCCAAGTAAGACACTTACTTCAGGCACAACGTTTAAGAGGGTGCTCACAAACTCAGCAATCAAGATAAATAATCTTGAGGTGCCTGGGTGGCTCAGTCGGTTAAGCGTCCGACTTCAGCTCAGGTCATGATCTCACGGTCCGTGAGTTCAAGCCCCGCACTGGGCTCTGTGCTGACAGCTCAGAGCCTGGAGCCTCTTTCAGATTCTGTGTCTTCCTCTCTCTCTGACCCTCCCCCGTTCATGCTCTGTCTCTCTCTGTCTCAAAAATAAATAAATGTTAAAAAAATTTTTTAAAAAAAGATAAATAATCTTTAAGTGTAATATTTTGAAAAAAAATTGACATTAATGCAAAAAAGTCACAATGAACAAAATATCAGAATTTAAAATAGAGACAGCGTCAGTATTACTGATTTTTCTTTTGCCTCAAGTTCCAGTATGGCTTGGCACAGAGTGTCATTATATAAGGGATATGGTGGGAGGGAGGATGCAGATAAGGGGCATACTAAGGAGTGAATTGAAGTTGTGGGAGTTGAAGCACTGAGTGCAGACTCTTCCTTCATAAGGTTCCATTTATGTGAAGGGAAATAAAGTGAAAGGGTGGTTGGCCTTGGGATCTCAGGCTTAAGGTCTTTTTTGTTTTATTTCTTTTTTTAATATTGGAGAGACTTGAACATGTTTATAAGCTGGAGGTAGAGAGAGGTTGATGAAAGAGTGTTTGTAGGGGCTCACAGAGACAGAGGGCATGGGGGGTATGGGGTGGATGGCCCTGGAAAGGTGAAGGGCAGCAGGTGATGGCCCCACAATGGGAAGGTGGAAGGTTGTGGAAACTTATGCCTGATAAATGGCAAGGTCAACTGATGAGGGATGGCACTAGTAGGTGGTGAAAGTTAGAGCTGTTAGGCAGCTGTGGAGATGGAGCTGACCAAGGTCCTGTAAAAGTAGTTGCTGAGTGACAGTAAGGACCAGGTCAGGTTGAAAGCCACAAGGGTTTGGTGTGATCTTTCCCTCTCTCCTTGGCATGACTTGCTACTCTAAATGTATGAGTGGAGGAGGCTTACCATCCAAAGATGGGATGCTGGGGTGGCCAACTATCCTGGTTTTCCCAGGACTGAAGAGTTTCCTGATGATACAGACAGGACTTTTAGTGCTAAAACTGGAAAGTTCTGGCAAATCAGGACGAGTCATATACCGAAGAGCTGGTGGTCAGGAGGCAAAAGGGCAAGATAATTGCAGGTGTTGGTCAGAGAGAGTTAGCATGTGCTCTAGGATCAGTCCAGGGAGAAAAGGAAGTGAGGCCATTACCTGGTAGCAACTTGTGAAGACTCCAGTTATTCACTGATTCATTCAGCAAATACTAATTGAGTGCCTACTATGAGTCAGGCACTGGGGTCCTTGCCCAGGATTTAACCACAAAGAAGATAAAAATGTCCTCATAGATTATCCTTCTGTGGTGGCTAAGGTCAGTTGGTGCTCAAGACCCATTCCCATCTCTGCCTAGAGGATGGAACATTACAAATTGCATTTCCTAGACTCCTTTACAACTGGCTTGTAAACTAAGTTCTGGCAGCTAGGTGCAGTCAGGCAAGATTTGTAAACAGAATCAAGGTAAAGCCTAACAGCTGGCTGCTCTTGTTAGTTTCTCTGTTGGCAAGCATGGTGGTGGAGAGGTAGGGATTTGGGCAGCAGCAGTTACCATGTCCACTCACCAGATTTAGAGGTGTTGGAAGCAGGTGGTGTGGTCGGATGCTTTCTGATTTCTGGGTCACTCCAATGCAGGTGAGCCCAGCACTCCCAGTGACAGCCTCCTGACTCCCCACTGCCCTGGCTGAACCAAGATCTTTCTGGGTATAAAGGAGGTTTTTTCAGAAGCCCAGGCGAGAGCCATTTCCTCCAGCCCTTACAACAGTTTTGGAAGCACCTGTATTACATGTATTTCTACTAAAAATACCTGGAGTGTTTTTTGTTTCTAGAACCTGATACCACCCCTTCTATTAGTCAGTGTTGTGGATTTTAACTCTGGTGACATCAGCATCAGCTTTGTTTAGTTTTTTTTAAATGGCAACGGTCCCATGACCTCCATGTGAGAAATGAAACTAGAACCGGTCTTAGTTGCTTTGGTTGTGAAGATTGGGGACAGTTTGAAGCACTGTGGAGATTTTGTGTAGGTGTGGAAAAGAAGAATTAAACTAGAATTTGCCAGTAAGGGGAGAAAAAGAAAAGGGGAATTTCTTACAAATTTTAGAAAACATACCCAGATGCCAGTTTTTTCTGGCTAGAGAAGGTGAACTGCTTAAAACAGTAGCGTGAAACCAAACTGACAGAATATTAACTGATCAGGAGGACTGGGTATTTGAAAACAAGAAAGAAAAAGAGTTGGATTTGGATCCCCACTTTGTCTCTCAGCAGCTGCAAGTGAACTTCTAAGGAGGTGAGTGGAGTGCTGAGCTAGGCAGCTCAGGCAGTGGTAGTTGCGGTGGGGGGGGGGGGTGGGGTGCTGGCAAGTGGTGAGCACTGTCCTTTCATGGAACTTTAAAGAACTCATTCGAACTGCCACCCACTCCCAACCCCCTCTTCTCCATCTTTGAACCATGCTAAATAAAATCTGACCTGTTCTTTTGGAGGATAACTTTGGGATGCCTCCAGGCTTTCTTGTTCTAGTATTTATCTATATATACATCACGGAAGCTCTAAAAGCATTTTGAATGCTGTGAGTTGGTTTCTATACAGCATGCTTTGCTTCTCCCTTTCCTCCTCCCCTACACCTGTATTTTCTTTATACAGTGCTTGTGAACTGGTAAAGGCTGGGTGTGGAAGAGAAAAAACTAATTTTTTTTACTTTGAAAATGTGTAGGGTTTCCCTTTGGCTTATTATAGTTTTCTAATTTTGTTGTACTGTGGTCAGAGAATGTGGTTTGAGGCACATTTATTTTGATATCTGTATACCTATTTCTCTGCTTATAAAGTAAAACGTTACAAATTCAGTCATTTCCCCTGTACATTTTTAGCTAGTCCCATTCTGTTCATCCTGTAATGGAAACTACTTTTCTGAATTCAGTATTTATTATTACTATGTATGTTTTAATATTTTCACTACATATACACACACACATACACACATTGCTAAACAATATATGGTATTATTTTTAACAGGATCTTTTTTTTTAATTTTTAAAATTTTTTTTTCCAACGTTTTATTTATTTTTGGGACAGAGAGAGACAGAGCATGAACAGGGGAGGGGCAGAGAGAGAGGGAGACACAGAATTGGAAACAGGCTCCAGGCTCTGAGCCATCAGCCCAGAGCCCGACGCGGGGCTCGAACTCACAGACCCCGAGATCGTGACCTGGCTGAAGTCGGACGCTTAACCGACTGCGCCACCCAGGCGCCCCAACAGTTAGGATCTTAATGTGAATTAATCATATGGTATGTATGCTTTAGCAACTTGCTTTTTGCTTCAGCAAAAATATTTGTTGTGTTGTTTTGTGTTTTGTTTGTGAGATTCATGTAGTTCTGGTTCATTCCTTTTCCAGGCTGTATAGTTTGTATACCTGTCTGAGAGTTTTTAAAGGATATTTACTTAGAAATGAAATTTTCATGTCATAGAGTAATGTATATTTTTTATCTTTACCAGATATTGTCAAATTGTTCTTCAAAGTTGCTGTACTAATTTATGATTCTTCTAGTAATGTTGGTGATTTTATATTTCTGTGACAATTGGTAACAGATACTAGCATTTAGCTGATGGGAAGTAATATCTCATTGTAGCTTAAATTTGCATTTTGCTGACCACTATTATGGCTCAAGCATCTTCTCTTATGGTTAGTGGCTATTTGGTTTTTTCTTCTGGGAAGTGCCTATTGCCCATTTTCCCTTTGGGTTGCTTGTCTTATACTTATTGATTTGCAGGATTTCTTTCTTTCTTTCTTTCTTTCTTTCTTTCTTTCTTTCTTTCTTTTTAATTTTTTTTTCTTTTTTAAAATTACATCCAAATTAGTTAACATATAGTGAAACAATGATTTCAGGAGTAGATTCCTTAATGCCCCTTACCCATTTAGCCCATCCTCCCTCCCTCCTTCTTTCTTTCTTTCTTTCTTTCTTTCTTTCTTTCTTTCTTTCTTTCCTTTCTTTCTTTCTTTCTTTCTCAAAGATTTTAATTTTAAGTAATCTCTATACCCATTGTGGGGCTTGAACCAACAACCCCAAGATCAAGAGCCACATGCTCTACTGACTGAGGCAGCTAGGTGCCCCTGTGGAAATGCTTTCTATATTCTGGATACTAACTCTTTGTTAATTAAATATGATGCATTTGCCTTCTCTGTCTGTGCTTTATCATTTTTTAATCTTTTTCATTTTTAAAAGGATGTGTATTTTTTATGTCTTATAAAATCCTTTTGTAATCAGAGGTTATAGATTTTCATTTAGAATTTTATATCCAGGACTTGAGTACATGTGGAATTGACTTGTAAGTGATATGAGGACAGGATCTCAATTTCCCCCTATATGTATTGAATAACCAATTATCCCAGCCCCATTTCTGGATATGAATGTCATTTCTCTATTGATTTTCAGGACCACCTCAGTCATCTGTGTATGGATTGATTTCTGAGTCCTCACCTGTGTATTGGTTGCTTTATTATATATCCCCTGTGCCATATTACATTTGTATAAAACCTTGATATCCGGTAAGGCAACTTCTTCTAACTGGTTGTTCTTAAAACTTATATTGGCTATTTTTAGACTTTCTCCTCCTTAACATACGTTTAAAATCAGCTTGCCACAGTCCATGGAAATTTTTTAAAAAATTTTATTGGACTTATATTGTATTTATAAATTCATTTGAGTGTCTATGATAGCCAGTTTTTTTTCAATTATCTAATGTAGAGTTTCTCAATCTTAGCACTATTGGTATTTGCGGTTGGATAATTCCTTTTTGTGGGGAATGTACATCCGGGGACGTTTAGCAGCATCCCTGGCCTCTGTTTTCTACAGCCAGTAGCACCACCTGGTAATGATGACGAAAATGTCTCAAGACATTGTCAAATGTCCCCCGAGGGACAAAATTGCCACTGATTCAGAACCATTCATTTGGCCTATTATACTGCAGAAATTTTCCTCATTTTTTTGGAATTATTTTCATACTTATTTAAATTCTTTCAGATGTAGGTTCTTCAGATGTGAATTTTATTTGTGTTGTCTACTGTCATGGTGATTTTTATTTTTGTACATGGTAATTTTTAAGCATGAACTTGCCTCTAGCATAATGGATGTCTCATATGCCCTGGGTTGTGAAGGTAGCTTTATGGGGTGGTTTTGAGTTTGCCTCTGAAGATCTTATAGGCTTCCTTAGTCTGAGAGTACTTTTTATGTTAATTTCTTGGTTTGGGCTTAAAAGAAACCCCAACAAAGTAGTGATTATCTGGACCCTAGCCCTAGGTCTCCCTTCCATGCTCCCCTTTCTCAAGTGCCTGTCACCTTTAGCTACACTTAACTGCCTCAACACCACCCTAACATATACACACTGGCATTTTGCTGCGTGTTGGCTTGACTCAGTGTGAGATCTGTAGTTTTCCTTTTGATATTTTTCCTGAATATGCCAGATGCTTCCACTGAGTAATTTGGATTTTGCTGCCAAACTATACCTCCATTAGTACAGAGGGAAGACAGCATGCCAGTTCGCTTGCTGGGTGTGCGTGACTGGCAGAAAACAGTCCTGGTATAATGGTTGGAGGGAACAAACTGAGCAGATAATATTTTTAAAAGCGATTATCTAATTTTGTTAACAATTTACAAAATTATTACATCATTGATAACTATGAACTCCAAAAGTTGGCTACTGTTTTCAAAAACAGGGAATTGTACATTTGATTGCTAGAGTTCTCTTTGGCTTTTTTTTCTTCCAGATATGTCTTGTGAATTTGGATAACATCTCATTTATTCCTCTTGTGTTTAATGACCTCATCCTTATTTTATACTTTCTAGTGTGTATGAATATTTTATAGGTTAATTTATAACAACTACTAACAAAATTGTGACTTTTAGTCAATAGAAAAAGAAGTACTTGACTACCTTTCATGGAAACTAGAAGTTATGTTAAAGTATTGTTAGCCCCTGAATAAAGTATAGATTTAGGGTCCCTGGAACACGTAAAATTGTTATTAAGCTTTCAGATTAAAAAAAAGTAAAGTAGGGGTGCCTGGATAGCTCAGTTGGTTAAGCATCTGACTCTTGATTTTGGCTCAGGTCATGATTCCATGGTTGTGCAATCTAGCCTTGTGTTGGGCTCTGCATTGAGCATGGAGCCTTCTTTGGATTCTCTCTCTTTCCCTCCTTCTGTACCTCTCCCCAACTCTCTCTCTCTCTAAAAAAATTTAAAAAAAAGTCTGAGTGCCAGTTTTTCTACTTTCATTGAGCAATCGTTTAGTAAATTCTATTTCCTCAGTCATTCACAATGGCTAGATTTAAGTGAAGTTTGGATGAATGAGTATGAGACTGCCATAGACATAAGAATACCTATTAGCAAGTATGCATTAAGTAAAATGTCTATTTTTATTAAGAGTCACCTGTTTAGCCTGGTTGTGGGAAGCCCAGTGTGAAAGATATAAGTGATCTACTTTAAAACAAAATATTTTAGATTTTTGAAAAATAAAATGAAAATTAAAGTAAATTTGATTTTGTTACTTTCAGACACTGAAGAACTTATCAATATTTTCATCTATGGGGGACTCTGGATCTCTAGGGAGGTTATGCTTACTCTAAGAAGGTATTTTGTCTTTGACAGCAAGAACAAAAAAAATGTCCCATAGACCGTTTTTTGCTTTGACTGCCAGGAAACTCAGGGACAAATTCACAGTCTACTAAACACTGTTTAGGCCTTTCTGGTCTGCATATTTGCTTTGTATTCTCTATCCTTCCACCCCAGCTCAACTTTCTAAACTAATATTTTTTAACCTAATTCCCCCTGCCTTGTTCTCATATAAAATATTTCTTGCACTTAGTGTTGTTATTATAAGATGCCTTAAATCTATTATGGACTGAAATTGTACATAAATAAATAAAATACCTTCAGTGTTATTTTTACTAAATATAGCTCGATAAATAATATAAAAATGCAAGTGGGGCACCTGGGTGGCTCACTCAGTTGAGCATCCTACTCTTGATTTCAGCTCAGGTCATGATCCCAGGGTCCTGGGTTTAAGCCTCATGTGGGGCTGTGTGCTGAACATGGAGCCTGCTTAAGATTCTCTCTCTCTCTCTCTCTCTCTCTCTCTCTCTCTCTCTCTCTCTCTCTCCCCACCCCCCCACTCTCCCCTTCTCCCCCTCCCTCTCCTTCTGCCACTCTCTCCCACTTGCACTATCTGTCTCTCTCCTAAAGAAAAAAGAAAAAGAAAAAAATATAAATATACTTGTACACAAATACATAGTAATAGTTAGCAACTTATAGTTGGGTTGTATTTCCAATTATTTTTTTTTAATGTTCTCTGATAGAAATAGACAAGATACTCTTTCAGAACACAAGAGTTTATTTAACATAAAATATAGCTGTGAAACTTTAGAATAGACAGTGACTGCCATTTGCACCTTAGACTTTGAAAGAGAATAGGTTGAGTTTCAATGGAAAAAAATTAAGAAGTCATCCATGGCATGACCTCCCATTGCTCCCACCCAAGTCCAGCCCTGGGACCAAGATTTTTCTCCAGATTTTCTGTTCTACTTCCTTCCTTCCTTCCACTGATACCGTCAGGAACTCTTGTGACAATTGCTGACCTGAGTAATGTGTTGAGAGTAAGGGGCCTCTGGCACTTCCATGGGCTCAGGGTCTGAAGCAGTGATCAAAGCTTGACAAGGCCTTTGTTCAGATAAAGTGGGAGGTCCTATGAGCATTCATGATGAAGTTGTGAAAATGACCTGAGTCTTTGGGAGGATGCCAGGGAGGGTTTCTACTTATAGGTGTAAATGAAGAATTTTATAGTAGGAGACAGCTGGGAAAAATGGGTGGAGTAGTTCTGACACCCTGCCAAAGGTCTCTTGTCAAGACCCGTGTTTGTTTAAACTTACCTGGTTGGGGTCACTGAAAGTGGGAGTTAACCCTGTGACACCAGTTTTTCTGGTCCAGTTAGCTTCTTCATCATTGGGCATTTTCTTCTTCCTCCCACCAAGGTTATTCATACGCCATTTCGTCATTTATGATTTTCTTCTTACTGTATTTTACATTCTTACAAATTCTGATAAGACCTGTGGGATTTTTGGGAGATAATTTGTTTCTGGTTTCATTTCCTTTAAAATGTAGGTTACCTTCTTTGTGTGTCTTGATTTTTCAATCAGTTGCTTTGTCTGCTGAAGATCACTTTCTATAGGGTTAACAATACAAGTTTAATCTTCTAAGTTAGAGAGACCAAGAAAGGAAGAACCTATACCATGAATGTTAGGCATAAGTTATTTTGATAAGAGGATTTAAAAAGATTCCCTTTTAATCACAGAACTCCTCCATTGGAAAGGGGATTTTGAAAGAAATGAAGAAAACCATCAGAAATGATGTCAGCAGCCTCATGGCCTTTTGTTGACTGGAGTGGAGTTTTATTATTGCATTTCCTTGGAATGACACTGCGCAGGATGTCTGCTGAAGTCATCTATCAGGTTGAAGAGGCACTTGATGAAGACGAGAAGGAAACGATTCTTTTTTTGTGCCGGGACATTGCTGCAGATGTTGTTCCCCTTAATGTCAGGGACCTTCTGGATATTTTAAGTGAGAGAGGAAAGCTGTCTGCCATGGGCTTGGCTGAGCTACTGTACAGAGTGAGGCGGTTTGACTTGCTCAAGCGGATTTTGAAGATGGACAAAAGGGCGGTGGAGACGCACCTGCTCAGGCATCCTCAGCTTGTTTCAGACTATAGGTAATTCATTATCTATTCCCAAGGCTGGACCTGGTGGGAGGGAGTGAAACACATTACTTTCTGTGCCCACAGATTCGACTGCCTTATGATGTTACTTCATTCCTTTGAAGTCTTTGAATTCTTAGAACATGTTCACTTAAAGTAACTGGGTAGAAGATCATAAAGAAAGTGGAAGGGCTGGGTAGTATGTGTTTGCCGAATGGATAGAATGAGAGAGATAAGAACAACTAAGAACTAGTAATTCTTGCCATTCTCTGTCTGTGGGATCTGTTGTGGTCTGTGATGTCAGACTGGCAAATTCCGGTACTGAGAAAGGAAATAACAAGTCTGACAGTGATTTTCCTGACCTTTGTAGAGCTCTGTGTTCCCTCCTGAGTCCCCATTGGTCTTTCCCCGGCTAAGGAGCTTATGAAGTGGACTCCCTTTCTGTGAGTTTCTTTGGGGTCCTTGCCCCTAGAGGCTTGGTAGGGCAGGGGTGCTGAATGAACATTTCATCAATTAAACAGCCATAGGCCCCCTCCAGTTCAGAGAGGGATGGTCACTGGAGTCCCCTTTAGTTGAGGCCATCTGAGTTTGTCCTTCCTCCTGTTAACAAACTACTCTCTTGGAGACTGAGAGGAGCACACAAACCATAAGAAAGGATGCATTTCTGGAGAAAGGAAGATAACTTGTGACCTTAAATTAATGGTTCCTTTTTCTTCAGACCACCAGCCTTTAAGTTATATCAATGGTGTGTATTTGGAGAAGATGTGTATTATTGAGAACTGTATTAAAGAGAGTTGAAAGCAGCTCTGCCCTTGAAAAGTGTCAGAGACCTGAGGTCTGGAGGCCTGTTTCAAGTCCCAGAAATACCAGTTATAGGCCACCTAGGCTGAGCCAGCCACTAACACCAGTTGGGACTTTGTTTTCCTACTTATAAAGCTAAAAATAATAATACCTGATTTCTCAAGTTTGTTGGTGAAGATCAATTATGATAATTTAGTATGTGAAGTACTTTTAAAACTGTGAATCCCTCTACAATCACAAGAGTTTATTATTGGGGTGCCTGAGTGGCTCAGTTGCTTAAGCATCCAACTCTTAGTCTTAGCTCAGGTCTTGATCTCAGGGTCATAAGTTCAAGCCCCATGATGGCCTCCATGCTGGGCACGGAGCCTACTTAAAAACAAACACACAAACAAGTGAAAGAGTTTATTTTTATTGTTGTTGTTGTTCTTGATCATCTTCTACCTCTTCAACCATCATAAAATGTCAATATGTTCTTAAAACTTTTTCAGAGGTGCTGGGTTTCAGTGAATAAATTGGGGCACTCTCTATTTCCTGTCTCTTTACTAATGTGAATGTAGGCAGTTCCTTAGGGCCTCTGGGTGGAAAGGGTGGGTAGAGGGAGGGGATGCTAGATTCATTGATGCATCTGTTCAGTGGGCTTTTTTTGGGGGGGCGGTCAATATATGCCAGGTGTATAGTAAGCATTAGAACAAAATGAAAGAAGCATCTTCTGTCCTCAAGAATTTGAGAGCCTAATTGGGAAAACAGCCCTCTAAAGCAGAGATGACAATGTAAAGGCAATAATGCCAACCACAGGGTATCCTGAGAGCCCAGGTAAACTGTGATGGTGGCTCCAACAGGAGCAGAGGTGACTGAGTCAGGTGAGGCTTTGTAGACAAAAATATCTATGGTCATAATCCCCAGGATCTAGATACCTTTTACCCTTTGAGTTTAGGAGTGGGCCAGGATATCCCAGGAATAAGCTTGCTTTAGAAGCTTGTGACTCAAAGTGTAGGCCCTGGATCTGCAGCATCCTCATCACCTGGAGGCTTGTAAGATGGGGAAGACAGGACGACTTCAAATTCTATTTCTATCTTTCATCTTAGTCATATATGTTCTTCGCTTATTTCATCATAACATCTGGGGGAGCTAGGGGATTCTTTAGGGAAGTTTTTATTCTCTGAGTTGTTTGTAGATCAGTTAGTTGGAAAGAGAGGTACTATCTCTTATTGAAAGTAGGAGAAAGGATGAATTTCCTTTTTGAATTCCCTTAAGATCTCGTCCTAGGGTGGTCTAGGCTTTCTGTTTTATGGGGGTGCATATTCAAATGGGGGCCTGAATTAGTCTTTTAAGCAATTATTGGCATAGCAGAAGCGTAGGCTTTTGGTGTTTTCATTAGGATTAGTATCTGAATTTACTTAAAAAAAATCTTGTCTGGTTGCAGGGTGTTGATGACAGAGATTGGTGAAGATTTGGACAAATCTGATGTGTCCTCATTAATTTTCCTCATGAGGGATCATATGGGCCGAAGCAAGGTAGCCAAGGATAAGGTGAGTATTCTTTTTCTTGGTTCATGTTTCCAAGGGCATATCAGAAGGAGAGGGTTGCTCTGTAGTGTGTGGGAAGAGGGAAGTGGGCACTTGAATATGGAGACCCAAGCTGGGAGTGAAGGTAGGAAGTGAGAAAAGTAAATCTTTTTACTTCAAATTCACTTTCATCTTGCTTTCCCATGGCCATCTATTTTCCCTCAACTAGCTTGAGATCAGTGTGGAGTCATTAGGCTGCATGTGGAGGTGGGGAGGGAGAAGGTACTTATGACTCGTGTATCCAGGGAATGGCAAAATTAGAGATTTGGGATTGGAAACTAGGTAGGAAACAAGATCTCAGGGATATTGCAATTGCTGGAAAAGTATTTAAATTGTCTAGCCTTATGTGGTACTGCTGGCCTAAGGATGGGCCAGGAAAAACTCCGGTCTCTAGAATATGAAAATATGTTCTTAAAGGACCTGCCTTTAAGGACTCTGGTAAATTGTTGCTTGAGAATTTTCTCATGTTCCATAATAATTGTACTTTTGTTTCTGAAATCTATAAATATAGGGTGACTGTATGCCCCCACCATCAAATGCGTCAAATGGGAAGGAAAAGGAAAAAATAGAACTTCTTTTTGGTGTCCTCAAGTCAACTTATTGCCAATCACTTATATCAATTTCATGATGATTATTATTAAAAATAAATAAATATAGCGCCTCAGTAACTAAATGTTAGAGGAAATAAAACCCAAAGCAATGCCTATTTCTGAAATATAGTTCTTTCATAATCTCTGTGGTCTAGGGCAAGTAAGTAGCAATATACCCTAACTTTTTAATTTTGCCTCATACTCCCAGAGTCAGAATGAATTGGAATGTCCAGCAGTGATTAAGATATTTTAGAAATTTCTGGGGTGCCTGGGTGGCTCAGTCAGTAAAGCGTCCGACTTTGGCTCAGGTCATGATCTCATGCTCGTGGGATCTCACTGGGTTCTGTGCTGACAGCTCAGAGCCTGGAGCCTGCTTCAGATTCTGTGTCTCCCTTTCTCTCTGCTCCTCCCCCACTAGCTCTCAGTCTGTCTCTCTAAAAAATAAATAAACATTGAAAAAATTTTACATATTTTAGGAACTTCAAAACTGCATCATGGGGATTTTTCTTTCCCCCAGCTATCTTCTCTCTTCCCTTTTTAGGAAAGCCCTTAGAGTTTTTCAGTATAATACCAGAGTAGCCTTTTGGAACAGAATGAACTCAGGCAGATTTTATTTTTAGGCCTGCTCTCTCACAGTGCTTTTTTGTTGTTGTTGTTTTTGTTAAGTAGGCTCCATGCCCAATGTGGAGCTTGATCTCATAACCCTGAGATCAAGAGTTGTGTGCTTTACTGACTGAGCCAGCCAGCTGCCCCATCTCACAGTACTTCTTGATGACGTAAAATGACTCATGTGTCCCCAACCTAGGTACAGGTTGTCCGCCAAAAGACTTACCACCACCTCTTTCTCTGTAAAATCCAGGAGTGTAATTTGCTTCTGGCCCTGGAGGGACTATGAAACAGAGAGGGCTGGTTTAAGATCACTGCAGATCATGGAATGGGTTCTTCTTCTCACATTTGCTTGCTGTTACAAATCACACATTTAGGGCTTAACAGTCCACCTTACTGACATTTGTTTCTTCTTGGTGGCTCTCTTAGAGTTTCCTAGATCTTGTGATTGAATTGGAGAAGCTAAATCTGATTGCTCCAGATCGATTGGATTTATTAGAAAAATGCTTAAAGAACATCCACAGAATAGACCTGAAGACAAAAGTCCAGAAATACAAGCAGTCTGGTAAGTAGAATTTTGGCCTCTCAGTGGCCCAAGGAAAGTACCCTGGGCATACTAGGTTTGATTGGTAAAGATTCATTTGTTGGATGGGTGGAGGGAACAGAACCTGAGTGTCCACAGCCCCCACTAGCCTGTGGCTCGAGGTCACATCCCCTCTAACTTTCATATCTCAGATCTGCTGACTTTATCACCCACACCCATGATCACAGAGTCTCAGCTCTCTGCAAAATGCTGCTGAGAAGTTCCTAACATCCCGGCCTTCATGAAATAGTCTGCACCCCCATTTTCTGCATAGGTTGGCAGCACAGTGGACACTCAGAGCTTTTGAGGATATGCCAGGCCCTGCTGCACTGCTCCAATGTTTGGCCTGACCACTATCCAATTCTGGGTCTCATCCTGTCACTGGGATCCCATAACTGCCCTGCATGTGTCCTGAGTTTCCAAAACCCCATGGAAAAGGGTGCATTTGCCCCCTTCTTAAAGGTGACCAGTCTCACATTGGCCTTCTTCCTCATGCCACCCTCCCCCATTGTCTTTTAGATTCAGGCTCAGCATGGACTCTGTTGCTCTGTTAGCAGTCCACTGCCACCATAGAGTTACAGCCTAATGGGGATAGCTGAGACCCAGTGATCTACAGATACCCCCCACCCCATGACCAATAAAAAAATCAAGGATGGGTGTAGCATTTTTAGCACATTCTTAATGATAGTGGGAGATATTTTGACCTTAGTAGGGTGGTTAGAAAGTTTAGGATATTTTGAAAGATGATTGACCCTGAACTGAGCCATTGTTGAAAATGCATTTGATAGTAACTTATAAATCTTAACTCCATACCTCTCTCCTGCTTATAGCTCAAGGAGGTGAAACAAGTTATATAAGTGCACTCCAGGCATCTCTCCCAAATTTGAGTCTTAAGGATCCTTCATATAACTTAAGGGTGAGTCTGGAGCACATGTATGGAATTCCAGCATGAAACAGTTTCAGAACTTTGATAAAAATACAGACATTTGCACAGCATGGACTTTATTTAATATCTGAAAAAATGTGATAGTCATGTGCATTTGTTTTTGAAATATGTGTAACTTCTTATGGTCACAAAATTGGCATGTGTTCATTGAGATAATTTGGAAAATATAGAGAAATATAAAAGAAGAGCAATAAATCACTTCTATCCTACTATCTAAAGGTATGTTGGCAAATTTCCTTCTAGTCTTTTTTCTATGCATGTTTGTGTATCTACATATCCAATTGAACATTTTTTTTCATAGTTCATTTGTTCTTTAGAAAATTCAGGTTTTTATTTATTTATTTATTTATTTATTTTTGAGAGAAAGAGTGCATATACATGGGGTAGGGGCAGAGAGAGAGGGAGACAGAAAATCCCAAGCAGGCTCCTTGCTGTCACTGCAGAGCTGGATGCAGGACTTGATCTCACAAACTTGAGATCATGACCTGAGCCGAAATCAAGAATTGGACACTTCGCTGACTGAGCCACCCAGGCGTCCCTAGAAGATTTAGCTTTTTAAATATAAATAGATAGTGCATCCTCATGGACAAAAATTTCGAAGTATACTAAAAGAATTTTTTAAAGTATGTTTTCTCTTACTCCACTTCCTTTCCCCAGAGGCAGCTGTTGTTAACCATTTTCTTCTATACACATTCAGAGACAGTCTATACACATACCATATCTCATTTTTGGTTTTTCCTTTCTGTGCAAATGGTAGAACACTATGCCCATTGAGCTGAGAATTCTTGGAAATTGTTCCATATGAATCATATGTGACAACCTCTATTTTGTCATTGCTTTTAATGGGTGCATATGGTTCTACTTTCTGGAACTTTAATATCTGAAAAAATGTGATAGTCATGTGCATTTGTTTTTGAAATATGTGTAACTTCTTATGGTCACAAAATTGGCATGTGTTCATTGAGATAATTTGGAAAGTATAGAGAAATATAAAAGAAGAGCAATAAATCACTTCTATCCTACGATTAATCCTGGGTATATTACAATGTGTATAGCCCTTTCTTGTGTGTATTTAGATTGTTTCCAGTCTTTTTTTTTAATACAGTGATTCAAAATAAATATACTTGTATTTACCTCTCTGTGCATTTGCTTGTTATTGGGCGTATTTAATGATTTCAACAAAAGTGTTTTTGTTATTGAGTGATAATTGAGTAATTGAGTTGTGACCCTAAATATCACATAGTCACTTCTGGTTGTTGTTTTAGTAAATGGTGCAAGGTATTATCAGAATTCTTGTTGGTTAATTTTTTATCTTGAAGAGTTAATCCTAGTATATGTGGAATTTGTAGTCAGGCCTCAGGCCACAGTGCAATTTCATGATTAAATTATAAACACTTTAAAAGCATCTGAAGAAAACATTAACTACCCTGTAATATAGTTTCATGAAAAATGTGAGATGTGAGGATATCTCTGAGCAATAGAATTTCAGAGCTAAAATGAGTATTAAGGATTATACTGTTCACCCCCTCATTGAACAAATAAGGAAATTTAGGCCTAAAGTGCATTAAGTGATTGCCCACCTCTACCTATCACCAGAACTGGGCCCAGTCCATGTTCCTTCCTCTGTGACATGGCATATTTAATAAACTATATACCAGTCATGACATAGCTTAAATATATCTGTCACTTTTTTTTCAAGAATAAAATATACTTTCTTTTGTCCTTCTGAATCTCTATGATACCAAATTATGAAACCAAATTGATTTAGGATTCACATCCAGATTTTCTGAGTATTCTCTGCTATTATATATCTAATATAAATTATACTGTCACTCTTAGTTAAAACCTTGCCATATTTTTACTATTGTCTTTCTATTTTGTTGATGAGAATAACTGTATTTACTGTATATGTAAATAGACATTTAATTTTCTGTCATTTAATTTTCTGTATATCTGTGACCCTGATCATTCATTTAGTAAACAGACCCTGTGGCATATGGATTCAGCATATTTCTCATAAAATTAGGAGGTAAATACCTGGATGTTAACTCATACAAGAGTGCAAAGTGCTTTAAAAATCATAGTGACACTAAATGACACATGATACCAACATTTTATAGAATAAAAAAGTTGTGTCACTCTGCAATATGATGCTTTTTAAATCCAGCTTTGTTTTGATGTTGTATCTCCTTAATAGCTATGTAAATGTGAATGCACATCCATGTGGGGTTCCAAATTCTATGTAGTATTATCAGCCTCTGGCTAAGTCTCTTATTATTAGTGATAAAAGCAACTTACATGTTTTTCTTTAATTTAGACACACAGACTTAGCTACAGACACAGCTTAATGAATAGTATACTTCTCTCTTTTGGCTAGGATAGCTTCAGAGGAGAACTGTCATTTGAAAGCTGAACCTATCAGATGGTTGGGAGTATGTGGTATATGTACCTTACAAAGGACCTGTCATCTGAGAAGAGAAAGGGTCGGTTCAATCTTTCATTCTCTGATTAATTTCATTCTAGCCCTCAGAATTGGTAGTTGATTTTTTTTTTTTTTTGGTAGCTGACTTTTAAGAACCAAGCCCACATGTGACTTCTGTGTAGCTAAGCATTATAGAAACACAGTAACTAGACATTTATTAAGCTCTTCCTTAAGCTAGCACTGTGCTAAATGCTTGTGTACATTTAGTCTTCACAAAAATGTATAAGGTGGCTATTGCTATTATCCTCATTTGAAGATAAAGAAACAGACATAGGTAAAATAACTTGCTCAAGCTTACATAGCTAGTAAGTGACAGAATCAGGATTCATAGCCAGGTTTGTCTGGGCTAGAACTCCCACTATTTTTTTTTTTTTTTTTTTTGAGTATCGTTGCCACAAACTGTTACATTAGTTTCAGGTATACAGCATAGTGATTTGACAAGTTTATACATTATGTTATATTGTTATGTTTACCACAAGTGTAGCTATCTTCTGTCACCATACAAGCTAATATCATTGATTATATTTCTTAGGCTGTGACTTATTCACTCCATAACTGGAAGCCGTCACCCATTTGGCCCATCCTCCCACCCCTCTCTCCTCTGGCAACCATCAGTTTGTCCTCTCTATTTATAGGTCTGATTCTGCTTTTTGTTTGTTTATTCATATTTTTAAATTTTTTAAATTTATTTTTATTTTAGAGAGAGAGTGTGAGCGGGGGAGAGGAGCAGAGGGAGAGAGAGAAAGAGACTCTTAAGCAGGGTCCGCACTGAGTGCAGAGCCTGATGTGGGGCTTGATTCCATGATTCTGGGATCATGACCTGAGCTGAAATCAAGAGTCGGATGCTCAATTGACTGAGCCACCCAGGTGTCCCCATATATATATATTTTTAAGATTCCACATATGAGTGGTATTTGTCTTTCTCAGTCTGACTTACTCCACTTAGCATGATACCTTCTACGTCAATCCATGTTGTTAAAAATGGCACAATCTCATCCTTTTTTGTGCCTGTGTAATATTCCATTTTATACATATACCATATCTTTTTTTATCCATATCAGTTCTTTATCAATACATACTTAGGTTGCTTCTATATCTTGGCTTTTTAAAATAATGCTGTAGTAAACATAGGGGTACATATATATTTTTGAATTAATATTTTCGTATTCTTTGGGTAAATACCCAGTAGTGGAACTACCAGAATATGTAGTATTTCTATTTTTCATTTTTTGAGGAACCTCCTCCATACTGTTTTCCTCAGTGGCTGAACAAATTTACATTCCCACCAACAGTGCATGAGGGTTCCTTTTTCTCCACATCCTCACCAGTACTTTAGAACTCTCATTCTTTCTTTCTTTTTTTTTTTTTAAGTTTTTAAAATTTATTTTTGACAGAGAGAGTGAGTGTGAGCTGGGGAGGGGCAGAGAGAGAGGGAGATACAGAATCTGAAGCAGGCTCCAGGCTCCAGCTGTCAGCACAGAGCCCGACGCGGGGCTTGAGCTCACAAACCGTGAGATTCATGACCTGGGCTGAAGTTGGACGCTTAACCGACTGAGCCCCCCAGGCACCCCTAGAACTCTCATCCTTAACCATACCGTACATTGCCTCTGTGTTAAAGGATCAGGTAGAATGTCGATCTGATGTTCCAACAGCTTGTTCTAACTTGGAGCTATTATAGCAACTCTACAATACTGTAACATCTGACTTCATTGAGCTGTTTTGGAATATTCTAATAAGCTAATTTAGCATATTTACATGTTCATTGTATTTTTACTTTTTAAAAAGAAGAGTTGCCTTGTTCTTTGGCTATAGAAATGGGACTTACAGAGTTAACCGCTCTTGCTATTCTCCTTTAGATAATTTAACTGTGAATGTGATACTTTAATTTTTTTCCTGGGTAAGAATTCTATTGAGATATTTAAAGAGGTGTGATATAAAGTGCCTCTGAAAAAACTAACAGGGGGTATGACCTTATTCTTTATATTTGAAGCTCCAGAATGGGAGAAGTAATGAACAAAGACTCAATGTGGGACAACCTGATACTCAGAGTAAGGCCAATTTTTCTTTCTTTCTTTTCTTGTAATGTTTATTCACTTTTGAGAGAGAGGGAGAGCGGGTATGTGAGCAGGGGAGGGTGAGAGAGAGACACACACAGAATCCGAAGCAGGCTCCAGGCTCTGAGTTGTCAGCACAGAGCCTGATGCTGGGCTGAAACCCTCAAGCCGTGAGATCATGACCTGAGCTGAAGTCGGATGCTTAACTGACTGAGCCACCCAGGTGCCCCTACATTCATTCTTTATAAATGCTTGATAATTCAAGTAAAAATCATTGCATTTTTGGAGTTTCCCATTTCCTTTATCTACCTATTCTGATTAAGTTCTCAAAATAAATAGCAGTTAAGTTCTTAAAATGTAGTCCTTGGCATTTCTAATTATGTAATGAATTAGCTTATTTGAACTTAAATGCCTCTTACTCAGTTTCATCATCTTGGCGATGTTTTTAAGAAGTTTCAGGTTTTATACCTGAAATGGAACTATAATCAGGCTATGTGAAACATTAACCTAGCCATGATAATAAATTGAGTTAAATTGAATATCTAGCAGCAGGAAGAAGAAAGGTTACTAGGATCTTGTTTTATAGCTTATTTAATACATCTAGATACTCTACAGATGACATATCTGTACTCCTAAAAAGAAGGAAAAAATACAATAAAAAACTAGGCATTTCAACCCATACGATTTCTCTCTTCTCTCTTAAAACATCAGCACTTGATCCTATAACATCATTTAAAAAATGTATTTCTTTTGCTTGTCTTGAGTCCTCCTTCAAGTGAAGGCTGAGACTTGGTCTCACACTGCATTGTAGATGATTGTGTTTCAGAACTCAAGGAGGCAGGGGATTGATAGGCAGGTAAGGAGGGCTCAGTCTTCCCTGGGGGGCTTGGAGTTTGTCCTGGGTGCAGTGCTGAGAGCCGATGGAAGCCTTCTTTATGTGGCAGGCCCTTTGCCAAAATCTTATGACTCAGCCTACATGCTGTCTGCCTGCACCTAGAAACTGAGAAGGATTTCTCCCAGATTCGCCAGATGGCATAGCTCATGCCTGTCACTCCTCACCTAGTATTCTGCTCTCCAGCAAAAGCTATTGAGAAGTGAATTTATTCCTGAAGTGACAGCATGTTTCTCAAAACACTGACGAGGTGGTGAGAATTTGCATTTTGAAAGCTGTTTAAAAGGAAAATAGGAGAGCTGGCAGATTTGGATAGGAATGAAGAACAATCAGTGTTCTTTCCACAGCACACCCTGACGGCAGGTTTATCCTTCACTGTAATTATACAGGAGAGATAAGTGAGGCACCTAACACCTCTGGTGATTCTTAGGAGAGCTAGGTACCTGCTTTCACCTGGATGCTTTATTTGCTAATAAAAGAAAAAGTCTTCATATTAATTTTGACTTCCAAATAGATTTCAATTGGATGATGATGATGATCACTGTAATTTATTAAGCTCTTACTAAATGCCTTACACTGAGATACGCATATTAAAATAAGTTATTTTGTGTTTTTTATTCTGTTAATCCATGATTGCTTAAATGTAAAATGATAAAGAGAAATTTCCTTTTAATCCCAAGTATCAGATAACCACTGTTAATATTTGATTTATATACCGCTGGACTGTTATTTTTAAGCATATCTATGTGTAAGGATATGCACACAAATACATATATTTAAGTATGTTGGATTAATAATATTCATATTGTAAAATAACCCATTTCACTTACTATGTCTTATCTATCTTTTCATGTCAAATACAAAAAGATCTTTCTTATCCTTTTTAACATGTATAGTATCCATTATATGTATCATGATTAATTTAGCCAGTTTCATTTTTAAGTATTTTTCTAGTTTGAGGCCATTATAAAAATTTTTTTTTACTGTTTATTTATTTTTGGAAGGAAGAGAGAGAGACAGAGTGTGAGTAGGGGAGGGGCAGAGAGAGAGGGAGACACAGAATCTGAAGCAGGCTCCAGGCTCTGAGCTGTCAGCACAAAGCCCAACACAGGGCTCGAACTCATGAACTGCAAGATCATGACCTGAGCTGAAGTCAGATGCTTAACCAACTAAGCCACCCAGGTGCCCCAGTTTGAGGCCATTATAAACAGTTATTCAGTACATATTCTTGCATACTTGCTCTATTATTTCCTTAGGATAAACTTCTAGAAGCAAAATGTTGTTTTAAAGGATATCACCAGTTGTTCTTTAAACAGATTGTTTTTTTTTTAAGATTTTATTTTGTTTTAAGTATTCTCTACACCTGACGTGGGCCTTGAACTTACAACCCTGAAATCAAGAGTCACACACTCCACTGACTGAGCCAACCAGATGCCCCTTAAAACACTGTTTCAACTTACACACTTGAAAGGCCTCATTTCCCTCAAACCTTAAAAATACTGGCATTTTCTTTGCTTGTCTTTGCCATTCTCATTTTTGCAACAGTCTTCTAAGGTAGATGTTGGTATGTTCACCTTAGGGATTTAAAACCAAAACAAAAGAGCCTGAGACTTCAGCAGTAAACTTGCCTAAGATCACAGAACTCATCAGTGATGGTGCTAGGGTTTGAGCTAGCCCTTTATGGCTTCAAAACTGGTGGTTTCTCCACTTATCTGGGCTAATAAAGTCATTTTTACCTAATGATATTGACTTTAGGCTCATCTACATTTGCTAGGCTCACTGTCCTTATCTTGCAACTGCCATTTTATTTTATGATCTCTCAATATCACTGGACTAAGAAAACATGGCCATCTGTTGTACAAGTGGCTAATACAAGTACATTTTCCCTTCTCTGCAGTCTCTAAGGCTGTCCCCCTCTAGGCCTTATCCACCTTGTCCACATGGAAAAAAGCTACTGATATTGCTAGGTGGTGAGGTTATTGGATTCTCCCTATCAGTTTAAAAACTCATCAGTCACCTGGTCCTCGCCTGGAGAAAGGCAAGGGAGAGCCTTTTTTCCCCCTTTGCTATTTAAGCAGTTTTTCTATATAACCCCTGCCTGGCATGCAGACTTGTGTTTTCTTTTTTTTCTTTTTAATTTTTTTTAACGTTTATTTATTTTTTTGGGACAGAGAGAGACAGAGCATGAACGGGGGAGGGGCAGAGAGAGGGAGACACAGAATCAGAAACAGGCTCCAGGCTCTGAGCCATCAGCCCAGAGCCCGACGCGGGGCTCGAACTCCCGGACCGCGAGATCGTGACCTGGCTGAAGTCGGACGCTTAACCGACTGCGCCACCCAGGCGCCCCCAGACTTGTGTTTTCTTATCAGTTAGGTTCTTCAGTGTGAGGCTGAAACCTTGGGGCCAAGTAGAGCTGAAGAAAGAAGACACAGTAAGGGGAAGAAAATAGGGGAAGAGGACAGCTGAGATATAAAGAAACCCAGTCAGCATGGGAGTGTGGTTAGTTCTCCTTCAGCTTTGTAAATGGTTTCTCTCTCTCAGCCGCCCCCCCGCCCCCCCCAGGAGAATCAGTGAAGACATCCATTCAGGAATCAGGAACATCTCTACCTCAGGTATGGAATAAATGATCTAATTTGGTATTGTATTGTTTGCACAGTATCTGTGGGGAACACTGGCTTCATTAAAATATCTATTAAGAATTCTCTGTGACAAGAATAGGATGCTGACAGTGTGAGAGTGCCTTTTTCTTGAGAGATCTCCTAAGGGGGAACCTTGGATAGAGCAAAGAAGTTGTTGTGGAAGTGGATTGCATTAGTGAACTCTGGAATGCAGGGAAATTCCAAAGTAGCACTTCTCTTCCCAGCTGAGTGATTGGTGAATATATAAGTAAGCAATGACACTGAACCTTGACTTGCTCTGGCTTTTTTTTTTTTTTTTTTTTTTTAAAGGCTGAAAACTTTTCACCATAAGGAGGCAATAGAAGTAGAAGGCTTCCTTTTTTACTGGTTTGGAAAGATATCACTTGTATAACCTTACGTTACTGTGGAAACAGATCCATCCTTTCAGCTTTAAATTGTCTTTATCCTGTGGCTCTAAGACGTGTGTAAAGGGACTGTAATTTTCATTAAAATTAAATAAAAACTGAAACAGCTTGTCTTAAACATATTGCCCAAACAGAGGAAAAATATGAAATTAATGGGAAATGTCAGCTGTGGTGACTTCAGGCTGTATCTATTGAATGGCTCACCTGGCAACAGGAAGTTTGAGGAAATCCAAAAGAAAATATGGTTTATGGGCGGGACCTATAGGAAGCAGAGCAATGTCTAGCGTTTTCAACAATTGCTGTTTTCCTTTCCAGCACATACAAGAGAGATATAGGATGCAGAGCAAGCCCCTGGGAATCTGCCTGATAATTGACTGCATTGGCAATGATACAGGTAGGTATGCATGCTGCAGATTAACTGATTACCACAGTGAGGTCATGGCCCAGAAAAGCTGTATCCATCAGTGATCATCACAAGCTGTTATAACAAACCACTGCCAAAATCTGTGGTTTCACATAGCAAGGGAAACTTTCTCACTCATGGCACAGCCTAGTATGAATTGGGCTGGAGCCAGCTTTGTTCCATGTGTCATTCAGTGGCTTCATCATCTGAAGCCTTGGGGTTTTCCACAGGATCCTCTGTATCTGGCTGGTGGATTGTGGGAAATCAAATAGCTATGTTCTGGTTAAGGAGATTATAGGGAATGCATTATACTGCTTTCTGCTGCTGAAAACAGCTGAACAGTATCTAATTAATGCATATTTAGGGATTGGGTCCTGCCTGTGCTCATGAATTCCTTAGACCATGTTATCTATGGAATATCTTATCTTGTTCTCCACCCTGCTTTCAGCATCTGCTCTTTTGTAGTCTTAGGAGCACCTTGTTTTTTTGCATGCTTTCTATATGTTCTCGCTGGCAGTAGCCGCTGACATATTGCACAGTGTTTTCCCTATAATGTAGGCCCAATAAATACAGGAGCTTGAGAGCAGCTCGGGGAGACTTCTCTTAGCCTCCCTTTCACCTGTCTTGACTTGTGGCGTCTTGAGTAATCCTTTCTGCCGTCCTTGGCTTTGCTGGACAAAACTGAAAGCTGAACCCACAATTGGTGACCCCGATGTGATAAGCTGAACCCACAACTGGGGACCCTGACATGATCCCACAGTGGATGAATGAAATTCGTGGAAGATCTCACAAGAGATTTTAGGGGCCAGTCCTGAGAAAGTGAAATGCATCATTTCCATCCACATTCCATTGGTCAAATGCACTCATGTGGCCCCACTTAACTGCAGTGGATAAGGAACTCAGTCTGGCTGCATGCCAGGAGGAAACTGGAAGGAGATCTGGGGAGCACATAGCATTGTCTCTGGCACAAAGGTGTAATTGGTGAAAGTTGGTGAGCTTCAGTCTGGTTTTTTCATGCTGGATGCTGTGGCAGAGAGGAGGCTGGGGATCCAGAGTGGGGTTTAAAATGGAAGGCTTGCTGGCTTCAGTGTTAGCAGATACCCCATCATTTCATATAGATAGACTATGAAAGCTCTTCTGGGGGACATTAAAAATGTCATAATGTGTGTTCACTTAGAGGCAGTGTGTCACTTGATTCTGTCACCCTGTACTTTGGTTGTTGGCCTGAGTCTGTACTACTTGTGTGTTCCTTGTTGTTCAATCTGAATTGATTCTCTTGCTCAATTGTTGCTGGATGTCTTACTCAAACTGAATCAATCACTGGTGGTGCATCAAAGAATGTAAGAAGAATCTCATTGCGAAACAATGTGCTTAATTATTTACCTCTTCCTTAGTTGATCATTACATTCCCACAGTTTTCCTGCTTTTCAAAATTCTTAGAATGAGTCAGACCTGTCTTTCAGGCTCACTTAAATGATACCAGGGTGAGTTTTATAGAAAGAGACTCTAAGAGAAGGTCAAATCATCAAATATTAGCTTGAATTTCCCAGAATTTTAAGATATGATCTCATTTTCTCATGTTCTATTTTTGGTTTAATGTGAGAAATACCATCTCCTCAGCTATAGATGCGTGTCCTTTCCTTTTTAGCCATTAGTATCCATATAAGAATGAGAAAATATTTTCTCAATGAGTAACTTCCTGCTTTAAAAGAGTAATCATCTTCTACTTTCTATTATAGTCAGTTCTGTTTCATTCATTGGCAGAAAGTTCCCAACTGCACGATGTATGTTTGTTGTATGAAGATAATCATAAAGCTATGACCTGCTATGAATTGGTGGCTAAAAGCCAGTGTCTATTTGCTTCCCTTGCTGAGTTATGGGCCTCTTGTGGGCAGGGACTGAATGTATATTTATGTTTTCCTGCATTATAGGAGCATGGTCAGAGTTGGGCCCTGGAATATGACTGCATGGGTTTGAATCGTGGCTCTGCCATGTCCTAAATTATAACCTTGGGCAATTTTCCTAGACTCTCCATGCCTCAGTTTCCCTTCTATAAAATGGATTAGTAACAGGACCTCTCTCTTGGGGAAGTTGGGAGAAGTGAGTGAGTTCATACTTGTCAAGAGCTTAGAGCAGTGCCTGGCACCCTGTGAGCATATACTAAATGCTAGCTAACCTTGTTTTTTCATTTTGTTTGTTTCATTTTTGTTGCAAACCACTAAGCTAGAACTTTCTGTGGCTTTGTACATGGAGTCTGAGCCCAGACAAATGAGGAAACAGAGGACTGGGGGTCTGACACCTGCACTGGGGCTCAGGGACGAGTGGGGCAGGTTCCCATAGGCTGGGGCTAACTGGAATGGAGGGGAAATACCCAGGTGGGCAGTCCACTCCCACTAGTTATCAGTATGAATGGGCTTGACAGAGACAGAGAGTCTGAGTACAAAGGTTGGGGCCAGGGAGGGTAGGGGGTGGCAAGACCATAGGAGAGAAAGATGGGAGTGAGGATAACATTGGAGGTGGCTCCTGGGACAGTATCTCTGGCCTGAGGCATGTGCAGGTATTGACATAGGTGTGTTTGAACATTTGCTCCCTTGACTGAAGCTCTCCCTGCTTCTGGGGACAAAGCAAATAACTGATCTTGAGGCTACTAATACAAGCCCCTGGTGGCCGGGTGACCAGTTGATAGTTGAGAAACAGGACACTTTTTACTCCCATGTGTGGTGGCTTTTATCATCTGAAGGGTCCTGAATCCATTTATATACCAGCACCAGCAGAGACTCAGAATAGCAGGAGAGTATCAATTGACTTGAAGTGGAAGGCAGTCTCCTCTCTCACACCCTCTCTCTAGGGCTCCAGCTCCTCGTTTTCCAATTCTCTCCTGGCACTTGTTCACTGAGGCCTGTTGGCCTGAAATCCTGCTTCAGTTGACAGTAATCCTAAATCCATGCAGCACACTTCATTTCTTCATCTCCATCTTGGCAGCATGGGAGGGGGGTGCTTCATCTGGAGAGATTAGGTGAGGTTTCCTTTGTCTCTTGCCTAGTTAACTTAATCATTTGGTTAATGTTGATTATTTGGGAGGAGTGCAGGAGTCTGGGAATAGACATTATTGCCAATTGAAACAAGGGCTCCGAGAGAAACTAACAGTGATATTGTGAGACTAACAGGGGTGGTGATGATGAGAGTGTAAGGTTTATTAAAAATCTGCTCTGTGCCAGGTATTTTGCTAATTCTCACTCAATCTTCATAAATAATACTGTAAGATGGGTACTATTATCCCCATTTTCAAGGTGAGCAAACAGAACACAGTGAACTGCCTTCCTTAACTCCCTAGTAACTGATAGTGCTGACATTTGAAAGCTTTACTCCAAAGCCTCTGATTTTAGCTACTTTGTTATAATGTAAGTTTCGTGAGGGTGGGGAGTTTGTCCATCTCTTTTACTACGTGTCTGATATCTGGAACAGTGCCTGGCACATAGGAGCTCAATAAATATTTGTTGGCTAGATGAATGGAGGAATAAGGTCTGTTAGCTTCTGTGTTTCTAAAACCATTCCTTTGTATCTATAGAATTTAGTAGACTCTGCCCTGTCTTCCGAAAAAAAAAAAAAAAAATCGGACTTTTATCCAAAGAGTATGCATGTCTTCTAAACATCGATAGGTTTATTTTTCCTTTATCCCATAAATGTTTATTGAGCACTTACTATGTGCAAAACACCATGCTTGGCCCTGTGTGAGACAAAGATGGAGTCCGGTGTTAGATCGGTCAGTCCAGTGTCACATTGTTTAACAAGGATAAAGTTATTTTTTGGTGGCTTGTCCTTGAGAAGAAACCTGATAGAGGTCAATTATCTCTTCTTGAAGAGAAAGCTAGGCCTCTGCTAGGTCCTGATTCTCAGTGCCCTGATGTAGCACCAGAATTCTGATCTTGTTGGGAATGGAGAGTTGAATGTCTCAAAATGCAGACGGATGGATCTGAGCTTTGACTTAAAGCTCTGGCTGGCTTTTAAGCTCCTGAATGGAAGGTGGTGTTTGCAGATTTTAAGAGGAAGGGTTTATTCCTCTGTCTTCTCCTTTGCTGTCTCTGAAAATCTTTATAAATCTTGTGTAAGTAAACTTCCTCTTCAAACAGAGCAACAGGAGTCATGAAAGCCAGACGTTAATAGTGGAAACGCTTTGTAGGTGGTGATTTGAGCTTTGCTGTCCTTGGGGTTGCCCAGTCCCCTTACCCCCTTTGCCCTCAATGGAATGAGTAACAACCCAGATCAGTAGCATTTTCCTGTACTAACAAATGTAGGAACATCTCAGCAAGGGGAAGTGGAGCAGTCACTGTGGCCTCTGCTTCTGAGCTATGAAGGCAAGTGGTAAATGGCAGTGGAGGCGGCTCAGAGGGAGCAGCCACCACATGCTGCCTGCCAGCTTGAGTGCCAGGGAAGTGGGGCTTCCCCTCCTTGCTATCATGGGATTAATATATTATTAAAGATAGCCTCCTCCTAGAGGCAAGAGACCAGGAAGTCTGTGGTGGCGTCCTTTTTTCTTCTGGACATTCTTACCTCTGAGAGCAGAGGTAAGCAGACCTTCATTTGGAAACGTAGTATCACAAATAAAATTCCCCTTTAAATCTAGGATATAAATAAGAATTATAGGTCCACAATCCCTAATTGGAGACCTTTGTATTTCAGGATTTGGAAGATCCAAGAGTTTAGAAAGATGACAAAGTATAGATGCTGTAATTCATGGAACACTCCAGGGGGGTCCAGGGCAGTACCCCATAATTGTATACGTTAGTGTTTCTACAGCAAAATGAATGGATATTCACACTAAGGGGAATAAAGACTCTCAATAGCCTCTCATCAGTTCAGGAAAGGTTTTGCCACAAAATGAATCAGGGAAAAGAACTGAAGGTTTTCAGAGCTTTTGGGGCTTTGGCATTGTGGATAAGGAGTTGCAAATACGTGGAAGAGTAGAGTACCTTGAGGCTGCCTGAGGTACC